CGTTTCTCCGTTGTAATTTATACCATATTGTATCAATTAAGTATTGTTTGAAGCGTAAGGTGGCGTCGGCATTCTGGTGGTTAGGCTACCGGACTCATAATCATGAGGTTGCGGGTTCGGGGGTTCTAGCCTCAGCTCGGTCCGACGTTGTGTCCTTGGGAAAGGCACTCTACACGAAATTATCGCTTGGCTCAGTTATTTCGGAGATGGACGTTAAACTTGGAGTTCCCGCCTCTTAAATAATCTAATAGTGCTGATAGAGGCGTGAAAGACATACTATTTCCTTTAAAACGTAATAAGGTTTTCCTTTAACTCCTTGAGGACGTAACGAACACATACAGTATGTCTTACCAGCAGCAGGCCAAAGGCAACGTTGTGGCACATTTTGAATCATACACAGATCAGCATCAGGAATTTGCATGTTTGCTAGGGTGATAGTCGTAATAATAACAATAATAGCTCTTCCGTCAATGTATGACGATGACCAATACATCCGCAAATGAGAACATTTCTCCAGCGAAATGGAAGAATTTCAAGAATTAAAGGTTACGATGACTCGTGGCTTCTGCTGTGGCCGATGAGATCAGAATCTGGCAGAGAAAAGTTTGCCACATTTTGAACATTTTAAGGCACCACTTCTATTTGTAGCCTGTCTTATTTATTTTAGTTTCAGATTTTTTTTTAATTAAGTGGAAAAATCTGTGTAAATAGCGAAGTTATGATTCTTTTCAAAATTAAAGTGCCCCCAAAATAGTTCTACTTCAAGTGTTGAAGAAGAACCAAAATGCTTGTGCTCAAGGAGTTAAGCATTGCTATTAAATCATTAATAAGTTAATGAAGAGTCAGGTTTTTTTCTTTGATGCAAATAGTTTGAAATCTTCTGATGGGTTTGTTTTTTTTTCTTTTTCATTCTGTGTATAACGTCTATTGTTAAAGGAACTCGTCCCGATATCTTGCCTTTCACGTTGTTTTATATAGCTTTGCACCAATGGGATCATTGTATCCTCTATTTAAAGACCATCCTGGTTGGTCACGTGTGCAAGCCTGTCACAGAAACGAGGACGAATTTCTTGGAAGAATATTACATCACTATCTGATGCACAGAACAATAACACGTTTGGGAGTGAAGTTTAGGCCGATGCTCCATAATAATATTATAGAGAAGGTTTATCTTGCCCCAAATATCTCCTTCCCAGCTCCATTTTATCCGACCCACCTCATTACAATAAGATGAGAGGTAGCTAATGAACATGTAAACGCGTTCATTTTGGCTTGCATGTGACTTAAAACCCACTAACTGTATTATTACGTTAATCCCACGCCATTCACACTTTTACATTTTCCTACAGATTTTACATTGACCGAAGGATTGAATTTTACTACATTTATTTCCGCGACTTTATTATACTGCGGGAAACATTATACGTGTATTTATTGTAAAATAATCTGCTGTATGTATATCGTTGAAAATCCATAGCATTTTGTGTAATGCGAACAGATTTTGTCCTTTGTGAAATCAGTCTAGAGCCAGCTAAACGTTGTTACATTTTTAGGTTTTTGGTTCCTGTGAAGTTAACGAGACTTTAATCTAACGTTTCAATATACTCTGCACTATCTATGTAGATGTTGCTTTATATTCTAAAAGTAATTATTGTTCGCTACTTAAAGGTAGGCCCTAAGCGACGCTAAGCATGTGGAATTTTCGTTAACATTATTTTTGTCACAGTGAATTTAACGAGACTTTAACTTTAATCTAACTTTTCAACACGCTGTACACTATATGGATGTTGCTTTTAAAATCCAAAAGTAATTTTTGCTCGCTATTTTTAAGTATAGAGATAACTTCTTTCATCGTTAATAGCGGTTTGGGGTGAGGGGTTAGCTTTAACAATTGTTTTACCGAGTTTTAACGTTGGAACTTTGCAATGGTCTCGATATTTCTGTGGTTTGTAACGAACTAGCTTTGTGCTGGTCCTGGAGTGTTATGCAAGGTGCAATCTGTTTTACATTAATAACATTTGTCATGTTAGAAAAGGTACTATTTCTAGTACGTGCACTTTTGTTTCGCTTATTCAGTCTCTGTTAAGAAGAATGCACAAATCTGAAGATTAACGTAGTTGTAGTATTCTCGGTGTTTAAGACTAAAAATTAAGAGAAATCTCGGAAGTAAATTTTGATACCAGTTGCTCCTCAAGTCCCTCATTTTGACAATTTGCTAAGTCTTGTGGTTAAAAGGCAAGTGTTTTTTACACATACGCGGATAACTTTAGAACGACAGTTATACACCATTGGCCGATATTTATAGTAACAACCATCTTGTTTGACGTCATTGAGGGATTCTCACTTTGTTGTCGTTCACGGTGGCAACACGACCGCAAAGCACAATTGCAGTATTTTTAAAGCCTGTAGCCTACAGTGTCGTGGTGGCGGAGTGGTTAGTGCGCTTGTCTCCAAAGCAGAAAGTCCAGGTTCGAGCCTCGGTTCGGCCACGGATTTTGTTTTTCGCTCACCCATCTCTATTGGGTACCTGACTTCGAGTTGGGAAGTAAAGGGACATCCAAAAAGATGGTTTTTACTATAAATATCGGTCAATGGCGTACATCTGTCGTTCTTAAGTTATCCGCATGTTTTTACACCCCCATCGACACAATTTAAATCATTGGGAAGCGGCTCGTTTTGTTGATATGACTGATGCAAATTTAAGCTGAGATATTACACAATAAACTAGTCTAGTTCTTCTGCTTAAACCAGTCCCCCATCTGTGGTCCTGAGTAATCAAGATTCTCTGGTCCACATTCAGACAAAAGCTGCTGACTTGATCAAACAAGGGTCTTCAAATAATCTCAAACTCAAACTTCAGTAACCTCCTCCTTCCAGATTTTTTAACAATTAAGACCCCGGAGCATAGATAGGTAGTAGCCATAGTGGTTACCAGCAATAAACAGGCATGGCTGACTTCCTCTACATTCTTCCTATACCCCATTAAGGAAATGTCTAATTTTCGTTTTTAATACCGGTATTAATGAGTAAGGAAATACAGATTGTCTTGGTGAACCTCGACCAAGTTTTCTTCCGATGCGCCCAGTTGCATGGTACCTGTGAGACCGTGAGATACTGCTTTAATTGATATTGTTCTGTTAAATAAAAACAATGTATTAGAAAATCTTTTGTTTGTTGGCGTTATTACTGTTGGCGAAATTGCCTTGACGCGTTTCCTGTTTATCTCTGATAAACCAAGTGTGATTTTATAAGCTTCTTTGCCCGGATAAACTCTGTCCAAACCTAAATATGCTCTGAAAAGCTGGAAGCATCTATATTTCCTTGTCCTATTACTATTTAGAGTAACTTGTGCGGTCGGTCGTTACACTTTCAGTATTGGTTATAAGCTAATAGTTTTGTGCATGCCACGTTGTAACAACCAACAGATTATTGTGTTTTACCATGGTTGTTTTTTAATGTTGATGTTTTTACACCCTCATCGACACTATTTAGATCATTTAGGAGGCGAGCGTCTGACTCTGCATGTGTGATTTGCTCGAGGACGTGTTTTAGTTTTAGTACAGGTTTTACGGCGCTCACAACTGCATGAGGTCATATGAGCGCCAGAAGATTAAAGGTGTTACAAGAGAGTAACAAACACAAAAAAGAAGGAGGGGAGATAAGGACGACAGATGTTTAATAGGAAAGAAGGCGCAAACCGCACCAGAGCACCCGCCAACCACCCACGAGGACGTGTTCACACTTTATTATATCTAGGTCTGAATGTTAGTCGATATCATCATGTGTGATTTTTGGGGTGGACAGAATGTGTGTATTGTTTGTGACTGTGTTGATATACCGTATATGAATGAAGGTTAGGTAGACGACGACGTAGAACAAGGCATGCTTTTAAAGTAAGCAAGCACACATAGAGGGACATACACATGCTTGATTGATTTTTTGAGTAAAGGGAAGCCCTTTAATTTTAACAATAACAGCCACTTAGCGTTGGGAACAAAAGAGATTGACAGTTGCATAATGTAAAAACAACAGAGGGAAAGAAAAGTAGGTCCTACTAGTGTGGTCCTTCGACTGTCGGCAGTATACACAAGCACATTCTCTCAAAAACACACACACATACACACACACA